CGTGGCCCCGGCGCCACCTCGCACGTGGCAGTGGAGTGCAGGTGTTCACCACCTGGCAGGGGGCCCACGCGGCGAGGCGCCCTTGGGAAAGGCGAGCGCGGGTCCGGACGCAGGAATCGCCAGTTGCGGTGTTGCGGCCTGATGACACCGGAGCAGTTAAAACGGGCCTGGCCCGAGCGCTGCAACGTGCAGGTTCGGCCTCTGGTTTCCCAGTCCTCGGGTTCCGGATGTATTCGGCTTCGTGAAGGCGGTAGCTGCGACACAAGTATGCTGTTCGGGCAGGTTGCAACTGCTTTTTTTTCCTTTGGATGCACACTCGACTTTTTTCCAGCTGCATATCTCCTCTCTAAAGCCGATGAAATGTAGACGAGAGAGACAGCTGCGTGTACAGAATAGCTATCACTAATTCTCACTTTACTAATCCACAAACTTCAAGAAGTCTTTAGCAAGCGGAGTAGTCGCAGCCTGCTGCCCATCAAAGATCTAGTAACGGAGCAGTGTTTGGCTGCACGATGGAGCCTCTGCTGGCAACACAATGTTAGCAGAGGCCCATAGTGTAGCCACAGCATCTGTTGACAAGACTCTGCTGGCACAGTGACACCATGCTCCCAAATGGTATATAAGCTAGGACTATGTTTATGCTGTGCAGGCTGCTGCTACTTGAATAGCTGGGGCCTCTGGTGTGAACACAGCTTTCCAGCAGAAGGGGGTTCATTACCACCAGAGCTACCCTAGCTTTCCCTGCTGACGGCTTCATCCACTCAGGGTTTTGCAAGCTGGGCTGTGCTGGCTGTGAGGCCTGATGTTTTCACACTGGGCAGAACTGTTATGTGGACAGGAGCTAAGCTGACAAAAGGCCACTCCTTTCACCAAAGGGTGTCTGCACCCAAGAGGCTTTGCAGGTGCATTTACATAAGCTAACAGGGTGTGATTTTTCTTTTTCCCACTAGCTGACATCCTCACCAGTAAAACTTGATCATGTAGACTAAGCCCAAGTCTCAGATTTACACACTGCAAATGATGTAAAAGAAATGTGTGTGTTTGTACACTTCAGAAAGTCCAGGCCTGTTGAGAATAGTTTGGACACTTGTATCCTAACCACTAAGTGAAACTTTCTCTTGTTCTAATAGGATGATCCTATTAGAGGCACTGTAAATAACAGAGCTGCAGGGCAATATTAAAACTTAAGAGGAAGGAGTGGTGGTAGGGCACAGTCAAAGGAAGGTAGTGTCACTTTGAATCTAATCTTTTTCTAGTAAAGGTACTTGTAGAGTGCCTTTTAATCAATATCAGAGCAGCATTAAAGGAAGTATTTAGCTTTCCTCCTGGAGGAAGTTTGTGGGTACTTTTCATTCCTGTTGGCGTGTCTTTCCTTTAGAGGCTTCCCAATTAATGCATCAGTTCTTCTCTAAGAAGAGGTACTAGGGGATATGAGACCATCCTCTGTCCATTCTACACTGCAAGCCTCAGATGCTAGTTCTTACCTGCAGTAAACTCCTGGGGATGAAGTGAATAAATATTTTCAGAGGCCTGAGAATGCAGGATTTGATCCCCAAGGAAACATGAAACAGCTGAATCCAGAACCCTTCATAATGCATAAAAGAAGTTCAAGGGAAGGAATCATGTGCAGAGTTAAAATCTGATCTCAGTTTTATTATCGTAGACCCTAAATAGCATCATATAAATCAGTGGCATTGCACCTGATTTTACATTGTTGTAATTAAGAACAAAATTAGGCCAGCAGCTTTTGGTGGAGCTTAAAAATATGATGTATTGGGGTACTATCAACAGAGCTGCTACCATATAAACTCTCCAGGGGGAGATGAACCACATTGTGTGATGGGTAGAACCTGCATTAAAGTTTTACTCTGCACTGTAGCTGATTAACTTGGTTAACTCCGGACCCTCCGGGCAGAACAGACAAAAGGATGGGGAAAATGCTCCCAGCATATTTTACAAGCATGCCAAATGCATTTGAGTTGAGCATTTATCCCACAGGGAAGCACTGAGATGTAGTGCTAGCTTGTGGGTAGACTTTTATGCCTATGTGTCATCCTCCTGGGCTTTGAGAGCTCTGTACAAGTATAGTATATTGCCCATGAATTAGCCAGTTGCAAGATGTAGGTTGTGGATTTCAGCAAAGGGATACTTCAAGTACGAGAAGAATCTCTTGCGTTGTCCAGTTAAACCGCTTTTGTGAACTGTTACATGGAGTTGTAACTACTGCATGGTTTCAATTGTTTAAACTGTTTATTTAGATAAAATTTAATAGTTGTGGTATATAGCCCCTTAGTTACAGTCAACTGAATTACAGAAGTGGTTTTATTATGGAGCCTGCGTTAATGTAAGCAACTTGGATGGTAATTCAGGGTGACTGATGTGTGATGTCATACCGTATCTTATCAGCTGCAGGGTCAGCTACTTCAACAGAACTTTTACCGTTGTTTGGGTAAATGTTTGACTTCATGTATGCATGTTGGTTTCAGTGGAGCTTTCCCAGTTTACCTGGGCTGAGGATCTAGCTCAGGATTGCTGCATGTATCTAATGATTTGTATGTCTACCTCTGTGTACAGAATATTGGCAAATTGGGGAATTGTTGTTGATTCAGGTTTCCCACAGTAATTCAGAGTTCAGGTGTGCTGACTCATGGTGAATGACCATTCAAGTACTTTATATCTAATCATGGTCATTTAACTTTTGATAAGGTTGCAGGAATTACAACTTGGACAAAATTAAGTTCTTATTTAGCTAATCGATAGCGGTACACTTGCTTGTTTCACATTTCCAAGTTTTTCTCTACAAACAGGAGAGCTAGGAATGTAATCCTATTTTTCATGAAAGCTGATATCACAGCAGCTGGGGCTTGAAGAAGAAACATCAAATATTAAGAGAATCATGATAAAATCATAAAGAGTTGGCAACACTTCTCATGTAGTACATCAGAAAAAGCTGGTGCTTGCTGCTTTGTTCCAGTTTGAACTCATTTTTTTTTTTATCTCTAATACTTCTTTTGTTTATAGAACTTAAACAGATAAAAGCATTATAGATGAGGATACATTATTTTTACAGGACCCTGGAAAAGGAATTGTGATTAAGATGTATATGATATGAATTCAGGCCAGAAATATAGCTGCTTTTTATTCCATTTGCCTTCCCTAAACAGGTAAAAGTGGCCAGAAAATAACACCATGGCAGCCATAGTGTTAATGCAGTTGTTTCTCGCATCCCTCTGCTGTGGTGGATCCCCAGTGCAGTGCTGTACCCTAGATTTCAGTGGTGTGCCTTGCCCCCAAATTCCCAGTCCTTCTAGGAGTCTTGCAGGCTGGACGACATGACACTGCATGCCATACAGTTGACATCGCTGACAATGCAAATTTGTATTCACGACTGCCTCTAGTTTTCTTTTTGTTCCGTGTAAGAACACAGTTGCTCAAACCCTGTATACAAATAGTTAGTATTTAATTTACAGGTAAATTTAAACTTTAGATTGTATGGTGATACTTTTTTTTCTCATTTTGAGCCCTATAACATTTTAAACCTACAAGAAAAGGCCTGATTATTTAAAATAACTTGTTGTGGCACAGCCAATGATACTGATTTTTATTATTTTATCAAAGGAAGATACAGCACTGGCAAATTTCAGTCTTCTGAAGTAACACAGCTGTTTAAGAACATCTTTGGTAGGCTTGTGTTTAGACCATGGCAGTTCATTGTTATTTTCAAGCATTATGTAGTCAGTATGGCTGTAACCATGTGCATGTGATATGTGTATATGAATGAATAAGGCCATATAAACCAGTGATAGGTGAATGGCAAGAGAGGGGAAAGACTTGTTGTGTATTCTGATTTATTAAGTGAGATGCAGCTAAACCATTCTGTGCTGACATCCAGTCATATTTCACAGATCAAACAAGTGCCTTACTTGAGAGAATAATAATAATCAATACTTACCTTAAGAACTCTGGGTGGGGAGTGAGGGGCCGGGGGACTGTGTCTTGGGAGTGAGGGTCCTGGGCTTGCATCCTGGTGAGCTTAGGGGGTAGGGGGAGCTCTGATTTTTTCCATGATAAAAAAAAACCCCAATATCAAATACCAAAATTTTTAGGTACTTAGAATTTATTTTATTATAGTGATTGATATAGGTGGTGGAAAGGAGGGCTAACAGGGCTTGGCCCTCCCAAACATGGGGCAGCACGAGGGCTGCAAGGCAGCCTAGCCACGGGCTTCTGGCAGCTGCAGCAGGTGAGGTGTGGGGAGAGGTGTGCACAGCTGTGAGGGAGGGAGTGGAGCTGGGGCAGGCCCTGCACAGCCGGGGTGGGGGGCAGGGAACGGGACTGAGCCGCAAGCAGCTCATCCAGGGGACGTGGCTTCTGCTATGTGCACCCTAGGAGGGCATGGTGTGTGTGGCCCTGGAACTGCATGGGGTGGGGCGAGCTGCCGCTGCAGGCTGGGGCCAGGGCATTGCCGGGCTCTCCCGGCAGGGCGGGGGCTGGGCCACGCAGTGCTTGGGGTGGGTGGCAGCGGTGCTGGGATGTTGGCTGCAGCCCCCCCATAGCACCCCAAAATATGCTACAGCCCCCCTCACAACCCTCTCCCTAGCACCACCACTGCCTGTCCCTAGTGCAGCATGACCCAACCCCCCTGCCAGGAACAGCCTGGTGCAACCCCAGCCTTCTCCCCCACAGATCCTGTGGGGGCCCCCTTTCCCCCGCCTCCTGGTGTGCGTGCAGTGCCAGGTGCCTGCCCCCCACCCATGCCAGGCACCCCCTGGACAGCCTGCTCGTGGCTCTGTCCCGTGTCCTGCCCCAGCCCCTCTACTTCCCCTGACCCCTTCCCCCACAGACTTACCTGCGGGGGGGCACATGCACTCAGCCCCCCCTGCCCCCCCCGTCAAAATAATTTTTTCTCCCCCTACCCATAGGCAGTGTGTAGGGGAAGTATGGGGGGGCATGTACCCCCTTTAAGATTGGCCACTGTCAAAGCTGCCAGCAGCTTCTGTGGGTGTTCACCAACACCCCCCCCCCTTTCGCTGACGACACCACCGGCTGTGGGCGGTCCCTGCTTGCTGGTCACCACCTTGGTGCCCCCCTGCCGCCAGTTGTGGGAGACACCAGTTGTTTGTGCCTCCACCTATGGTGATTGAGGCACTGGCAGGCTTCCAAATTGCTTTAAAATTGTAAATATATCAGTAAAACATTATGTTCAATTGATACTTTAATCATGGATTTGATGATTTTAAATTGGAGAATTTGAAGTTTTTAAACAGAGAAAATCTGGATCCCTGGTAAGCACTTAGCTTAGTGTCCCAGGGTGTACTTGCTGCTGGAGTGGACTTGCAGTTGAGTTATTTATCACTTTTGGCCATTAAAGTTCCATGGCAATTTTTTTTTTAATGCATGGGAAGATGCCAACTGTGGTGTCCTATATTTCCACTGCAATTTCAG